CACAATTCATTGATTTTCACGTTGGCTAACCTGATTCCTGTATTTTCAAACTTCAAACTTTTAATTATTTGGTCATAATTCCATTTTGAGGCAGTTATGATAAATACGGATGACAAACACGTCTCTTGTACCCCACCAGAGATCCAAGAGATTGCCAATGAAGCGACGTTAAATTTACTGCCTGTAAAATCGAAAGCAAAGTACGAGGAGTACAAAATTTTTGAAAACTGGCTGGCCGAGAAGGGGAGTTCAAAAAGTAAGCAAGAATGTACTGCTGGCATATTTTACTACGCTAAGTAAAAATAAAAAAAGTTCTACCCTTTGGAGTATATATTCAAAATTAATCGGAATTAATACAATCGTTCAAGTTCCTCGTACTTTATTTACACTTTACAGGTTATGTTTAGTTTTGATTTGACGGATACCGTTGACAGCAAAAAAGCGAGGGGTACCAATCCAACAAAATAAAAAAAATAATGCGTTTCTATTTCTTTCGGCATCATTTCTGTCTAGAAACGCACGCAAACTGGGCCAATCAAGTAAGGTTTCGGTATTGTTTCCACATCGAAATAGAAAAAGTTTATTTGGGTCTGTTTATTTTATTATAAAACGTGATTTGCGTGTTAAAATATGAGAACATCTGGTCAAGTTTGCGTGAATCATAAAAGGTTTATATTTGGTTGTTCCTAGAAGCTGATGTTATGAAGACTTGTAATTGGCGCATTATTTCTACTGGAAGAAGGAGTTGTTTGTTTGGTGGAGATGGTATTTCGTTAAATAATGTAGATAGCGAAAGAACGGGGCTGGTTCGCGATGGTTGGGAAAAAGTGTACGAGTGTCTCTTTACGTTAGTTATTCGGACTGCTCGCTCGATTTGACTGATTGAAGATTCACTTCGTGACTTCCATATATATTACTGTGGGAAGTTTAAAGTGTATTTCGTTTCACAGAAAAAGTTAGTCAAGTTCAAGTTAAAAAGACAATCAATTCAGTGAACCGTGAGGTCACCGAGGTTCTCTTTTTATCAAGTTTAAAAGTTTAAACCGTCCACACAGCCATCCATAATTTTTGTCATCGTCTTCAACAAACAAGTTCACTTATCATCCAGCTTTGTGTTGAAGAAAAGTGACGTTCGGTAGGGGTCTGCGTTTGTGGTAACTTAAGTGCGCCAGTTTATCCCAATTTTGAAAAGAGAGAGAAAGAACTGTAAGTAATTTTAAGATTTTCATATTTTTAATTATTGACCGTCTGCGTACGGGGTACCATGTACAAGCGAAGTTACAATATCAGGAATAAATTTCCCGCTCGTAATAATTTTGATTTTAAAATATTGATACTTTCTTGCAAAAAATATTGCTGTCGGATAGCTCAGTAGCACGAAATTTTTTCAGCAATTTTCTCGCCCTGAAAAATTCAAATCGTCGTACTTCTCGCACAAGAATGTATTCTAAAACACATCATAAAAAGAAAATAAAATACAAAGAATCCTGTAAGAAACATTTGAAACTAACAGTGCCTTTTTAACCACATTTGCAAAATGGTCGATCGAAGTTTAAGAGAGTTCCATGAATTCCAAGAGGTTTACACCACAATTCCACAATAGCTTGTCCCCTCGCCATTTTTGCCCTATTTTCATACAATAAAAGTAACATAATGAATGGATTAATAAGCACCTACGTTTGAATAATAGTGCAGCGGAGAGCCGGCGCTAACTCGCTTATTTGAGGTAGTTTTTTTTTTCGGAGTAGAAAGAATTGAGACCCACACCATTTTGTTCAGAAATGTTTGAACCTTCAGAATCTCGCTTTACGACATTTTCCCGTGGTCCTGACAAAAGTTATAGGCCGCTAAAGTTGAAATTTACTCATTTTCGCGCGCGCGACAAGACCACCGAAAGTATTTATTTTCTCAGCAACTAAGCGATATACATCAATCATTCCTTTTGTAAAATGAAAGTACATTTATAGCAGAATCTAAAGCATTCATATTTACCTACCTTGTTATGCACAGTTTTTAGAAAAATGACCGTCAACTTCCAAAATTCGTGTAGCAGATGAAAAGTGCGCACTTTGAACTCTCATAACTTTTTATTTCACGATATCGATTTTCAATATTTATAACTCATTCGATGCTCCAAAGCATTGTGATTATTTTATTTTCTATAACATTACCGTGAATTTTTCATAATAAAAAAGTTACGGTCATTTAAGTAAAAACCTACCGACCTCGCCGAGTCGGTAATCGCGAGTGAGACGGAGAGGGAAGAATAGTCAGCAGCGTTCGCTAAACAAGGAGCGATGCGTAAGAGATTTTACTTTACTAAGAAATTTCTCTCCG